TACCAAAGTTCCTTTTACCTCATACACCATGTCTGGTTTCCAGTGAAAAACAACAAGGCATGCCAAAAGGCAAAATACAGTTTTAAGTGACAGAGCAAACATCAGAACCAGATCCAGACATACCAGATGCTAGAATCAGGCCATGAATTTAAAGCAACTATGATAAATATGCTAGGGGCTCTAATGGAAAACGCAGATAACATGCAAGAACAGATGAGTAATTTGAGCAGAGAGATGAAAATTCTAAGAATCAAAAAAATTTTCTACAGACAAAAACACTGTAACAGAAATGGAGAATGCCTACGACAGGCTCATTAGTAGACTGGACATGGCTGAGGAAAGACTCACTGAGCTTGAGAATATCAATAGAATCCTCCAGAAATAAAAAGCAAAATGTAAAGGACTTTTCTAAAAAAGGAAAAGAATATCTAAGAACTGTGGGTCAACAAAAATAAAAGTGTAATATATGCAAAATGGGAATACCAGGAGAAGAAATTTAAAAAAGATGAAAGTTTTCTTATTCTAAATTGATCTATTTTAATAGATGTCAGTTTGCTCAAATAGCAACAGTGCATTCAATTATGTATATGTGTGTATGTGTGTTTATAATGAAGTGAAATGAGTGACAGCAATGATAAGAAAGAACAAGAGGAAATTATGATTATTTTGTCATTATAAGGCACTTGTGCTACCTGTGAAACAGTATACAGTTGTCCCTAGGTATCCACAGGGGATTGTTTCTAGGAGTCCTTAGTCCATGGATGCTCAAGTCCCTTATATAAAATGGCATAGTACAGTTGCCCCTCCATATCTGTAGGTTTCACAACTGTGGATTCAATCAACCACAAATGGAAATTTCAACATGCAGTTGGTTGAACCCACAGATGTAAAACCTGTGAATACAGAGGGCTAACTATATATTTATTGGAAAAAAAATCTGCATATAAGTGGACCTGTGCATGGAGAAGGCAGTGGCCCTCCACTTCAGTACTCTTGCCTGGAAAATCCCATGGACAGAGGAGCCTAGTAGGCTGCAGTCCATGGGGTCGCTAAGAGTCGGACATGACTGAGCGACTTCACTTTCACTATTCACTTTCATGCATTGGAGAAGGAAATGGCAACCCACTCCAGTGTTCTTGCCTGGAGAATCCCAGGGATAGGGGAGCCTGATGGGCTGCCGTCTACAGGGTCGCACAGAGTCGGACACAACTGAAGTGACTTAGCAGCAGCAGTGCATGTTGTTCAAAGGTCAACTGTAGTGTTATTTGAAAAGTGGACTTGGATTAGCTACAAATGTATATTGAAAACTCTAGGGCAACCACTAAAAAGGGAAAAAAAGTATAGTTGCTGTTCTAAGAAAGGAAACAAAATGGAACTATATAAAATGTTCAGTTAAAATCACAGAAGATTATCTAGGGTGAAACAGATCACCAGCCCAGGTTGGGTGCATGAGACAAGTGCTTGGGCCTGGTGCACTGGGAAGACCCAGAGGGATCGGGTGGAGAGGGAGGTGGGAGGGGGGACCGGGATGGGGAATACATGTAAATCCATGGCTAATTCATTTCAGTGTATGACAAAATCCACTGCAATGATGTAAAGTAATTAGCCTCCAACTAATAAAAATAAATGGAAAAAAAAATAAAATCACAGAAGATACAAAAAAAAGATAAAAACAGGAACAAAGAACAAGGGCAGCAAATAGAAAACACTAATGAATATGATAAATATTATCATTTTGAATGTTAATGGTCAAAATGTACCATTGAAAAGATAGAGATTATAAAAATGAATTAAAAAAATAAGACCCAGGTATATGTTGTCTATAAGAAGCCCATTTTAAATATAAAGACACATATAGATTAAAAGTAAATGGATGGGGAATTCCCTGGTGGTCCAGTGGTTATGAATCTGCCTTGTAATGCTAGGGGCATGGGTTGGGGAGCTGAGATCCCACAAGCTGCAAAGCAACTAAGCCTGCATGCCATGTGCTGCAACTAAGACTTGATGCAGCCAAATAAATAAAAATTTTTTTTATTAAAAAGTAAATGGATGAGATAAAATATACCATGCTAATACTAACAAAAAAGAGGAGTAGCTATATTTCACACAGAGTGAAATTTAAGCAAGAAAAGTTATCAGGGATAAAGAAGAGCATTACATAATGATAGAAGGGCTAATTCTCCAGGAAGACATAAGTCCTTAATGTATATACAACCTAACAACAGAGCATTAACTTATGTGAGGCAAAAACTAATAGCATTGCAAAGAGAAATAGATAAATCCAATATCTTGTTCAGATACTTCAACATGCCTCCATAAAACAGAATTGTCAGAAATGAACAGTTCTAGCAGACAATGAGGATCTAGCTGAACTTAACAACACCATCAATCAACTGAATATAATTGACATCTATAGACTACTTCAGTCAATAATAGTAGGACACACATTTTTTCTCAAGCTCACATGGAACATGTACCAGGATAGATCACAGTCTAGGCCATAAAGCACACGTTAACAATTTGAAGAACAGAATTTAAAAGAATAGAAATCAAACAATTTTCACTGTCAGGCCACAGTGGAATTAAACCAGAAATCATAACAGAAAGATGACTAGAAAAATTCCAAAATATATGGAGATTAAACAACACACTTCTAAATAACACATGTCATGGAGAAATCTCAAGAGAAATTTTAAAATATTTTGACTAGATGAAAATGAAAATATAACTTATCAAAATACGTGGGATACCACAAAAACAGTGCTTAGAGAGAAGTCATAGCATTGAATGCATGAAAGAAGAAAGATCTCAAATCAGTAATCTCAGTTTCCACCTTAGGAAGCTAGAAAAAGAAGAGCAAATTAAATTCTAAGTAAGTAGAATAAAAGACAATAATAAGAATTAGAGCAGAAATCAATGAACCTGAAAATAGAAATCAATAGAAAAAAAATCAATGAAACTAAAAGCTGGTCCTCTAAAAAGGTCAATATACTAAATTATACATTGGATTGTACACTTTAAATGGGTGAGTTGTGTGGTGTGTGAACTATACCTCAGTAAAGCTATTTTTAAAAATCAGATCATGGGACTTCCCTGGTGGTCCAGTGGTTAAGAATCTGCCTTACAATTCAGGGGTTGCAAGTTTGATCCCTGGGCGGGGAAGTAAGATCCCACATACCTTGGAGCTACTGAGCTCTCGTGCACATGCTGCACTTAAGACCCAATGCAGCCAAACCAATAAATAAAAAATAAATTAAAAAAATTAAAAAAATAAAATCAGATCAAAATTACAAAAACAGTAAAAAGGCCAGTGGTTACCAGGAGTTAGGGAGGAGAGAGGGATAAATAAGAACACAGAAGATTTTCAAGGTGGTGAAACTATTCTATGATATAACTATAAGTGTTATATGTGAACTATAAGTGGTTGATAACTATAAGTGGTTGATGTGAACATAAAACTGCTCTAAAAATAAAGTCTATTAAAATTGTTTAAATCAGAGCCTCTTCAAATAGGATGTAAAATAACAATAAAACAAAAATTACTATACCTTTATACTTTCTCTCCCATGGCTGTTTTTTAGGCCTAGCAAAATTAGGTACATAAAAAGTACAGTCCATGTCCTCCTTTGCTATTTAGACTGAGAAGCCTACTTCCTCCTCCTTAACTTAAATAGGCTGATCAGAGAACCTCGTTAGGACCTCTGTTTTAGACTCCCTGTGGCACTTCAACTCCAGGCATTCTGTTTCACTCTACCCAGACAAGTGACCTAATGAAGTAAATCCAAAAGGTGATCTACACTAACTATGGAGAAATCTGTACCTTTTATACTCTTATCACTTACCATCTTCTGTTTTTAACTAGCGTGGTCTGTCTACTTGGTCTGTTGATGGTTTTGCCATTTTACCCAGAATTCAAGATCCATGTCAAACAAACAAAAATATTAAAAACACTAAAGATAAATCTAGCTAAAAGGTAATGTTAAATGCACTGTTCTGGAAGGGAAGTGTAGAAGACTTAATTTGCTACAAACTTAAGAAACAAAGGAAGCTACCCTCCTTCAAACTGTCCTGATTAGCACCCATTGTAGCCCTGATCTCCAAGATGTTCTGACCTTGAAATTTCTTGCTGCAAACTGTCCTGACAAGAAATAACTAACTGCATGCCTACCTGTGAAGAATCATTCATCACATTACTGCACTCCCATCTCATTTACTCTTCCTTCCAAAGCCTGATAATAGTGTGCTAGGCATCATGTTATATACTTTATATATTTTTAAATTTAATTTGTACAATAACCATATAAGTATACCTAATCTATTTGATAGGTAAAGAAACTGAAGTTTGAGAAGGTAACTAATTTTCCCACGATCACACAACTAGTAAGTTAAAGAGCTGGGATTCATTCTCCTAAATATTAAAGAAATCTTTAAAATGTTATTATCATCTCTATAGAGTTAATATTTCTTTAGAAAAAGATACTTCATAACTGAATCACCTTACTGTATACCTGAAACTAACATGACATTGTAAGCCAACTATATAGTCCAATATAAAATAAAAATTTTTTTTCAATATAAAATAAAAATTAAAAAACAAAAAATAAAATATTGCTAGTTTTCTAAAAAAAGAAAGAAAAAGGTACTTCATTAAAATTAAGCTTCTATCCATTTTAACTTCAAAGCATACTTCTTTCCTATTTAACCTTGCCTTCATAGGTATTTTTATTGCAGTTCAACCTAAGTTTCTTCATGCTTGAAGTCAAGCCAGGTCTCAAAACAGACGTAATTCTCCCAGTATTTTTTTCATGAATTCCACTCTAGTGAACTTGTCTATAACCCCCAGGGTCATCTCCACCTGTTTTGCTGCTTATGGCCCAAGCCTTAACTTCTCCTCTAGGGCCTAAGATTCATATCTAGATTTTTTCATACTCTTCTACTTTGGTTTTTTTCTTTCTTGTTCTTTTCCGAGAACAAGAAATTAGTCCATAGGGACTACTCACCTGGCTAGACCAGAATAACATAGATTGCCTCATGAACTGGAATTCTGACAGCCCAAGAGCTCAATATCTTAGGTTACAAACGATGAAGAGGACTGTACAGGCAATTGCTTTCTTGTGGCCTCTTTTCTGATGGCTGCTGGAATGACATAAAAAAAAAGAAAGGAAGAAATATTACATCTTATAAGAGTAACCATTAAACTCTTTCATATTATTACAATGTAGAATCAATATAACAAGTCCTCAGCATAATCATAAATAATTTTCCTGCTGTTATCAACCAATGCCAAATATAAAGTATTAACATAAAAATAGCTGTAAGTCTTCTTGCTAGCTAACCAACTCCCCTCCTCCATCCCATTGCCAGCAATTATGCACCTCAGTATCCAATTATTTCAATGTTCTTTCAGTTCACAACAAATGATAGCTAGAATTGAAAATGTGCCAGATTACCATCACAGCAGTTAATCTTCTTAAAGTTTTCATAGCTGGAGCTCTACATCTACAATTCAGTCTCATTTTTGCTTTACATTTTCTCTTCTCCTACATGCCTATGTTTCTTATACATAGACACAATCATATCAAATAGAATCAGTCAGGACAACTGAGATCAAAACTCCCATACTAAAGCAGATTCTACACAGTCTTCTATATATAGTGAATTACAGATGGTTCTGGAAAATAGAAGATTATTCCAAAAAGTCAATACATTTTTAAAGCTCCAATTTTCTAATTACAAAAGGCCAAAACTCATTAGTCTCCTGGATATACTCCTATCAGAATTATGATTTATAGTCACCTTCAATTCCAGTGGTGGCATTAATAACTTATCAAACATACACCAATATCCCATTTGTCACAAAGTATTCTAAAGTTGTCAAATTGCTTCCCAGCTACCAATATCAGTTCCAAAATTTCCCTAAGATCTAAACACAATAATTTCAAAAAGTTTCCTTAGTATATCATCTAACTATAATATTTTTAGCAATAACTCTATTTATAGTCTAGATTCAAACTAGTTTGAATTGTTTGAATTCAAACAATATTATCTTCTAATATACTCCAAATTACTGGCTTCTCTGGTGGCTCAGTGGTAAAGAATCCACCTGCAATGCAGGAAACACAGTAGACATGGTTCAATCCCTGGGTTGGGAAGGTCCCCTGGAGGAGGGCATGGCAGCCCACTCCAGTTTTCTTGCCTGGAGAATCCCATGGAACAGAGGAGGCTGATGGACTACAGTCCATAGGGTCGCAAAGAGCTGGACACAACTGAAGCGACTGAGCACGCACACACGCATATTCTGAATCACACCTATGCTTAAGCGAAAAAAAAAAAAGAACTATCCACCATTTCCTAAAACCTTCTTGCTTTTGGTTTTGCTCATCCATTCAAGGAGTCTCTATCTCCTCTCCTTAACTCTGGGTGTCCCAATTTTGTTTCCCTTGCAAAGTTCTTAATTGGAAACTATTCATTTTCCTTTATTCATCCCTTCCCATAAATCAAGACCAAGTTAGCATCATCTCATGTCTTATTCACTGGATCCCCAAAGTATTATTTTACTCAACAGCCCTTCTTTCTTCAGAGTTTATACTGCTTAATTTTATCATCCTGTTAAAGTTTTTTTTTTCATCCTGTTAAAGTTAAATGTCAACTTTCAGATCTCCCCCTGACATTCACTGAGGACTTTGGTACCAACTGTTTTCTTTCCGCTTTTCATTCTGAAAGCCTTCACTATTCCCCTTGATGATCTAACATCCAAATTTCACAGCTCCATGACATATCCTATTTTAATTTCTTCAGCTCAGTCATCCATTTCTGAGTGACACCTGGAATGGCTCTACCTCCAAAACCAGAGTCTGCACTCAGAACTACCTGTTTTTCTGCCTGTCTACAATTTACAGTCTTTTAATTTACCTTTCAACTTTTCAAAGGCCTTTGATTCATCAACCCTCTTAACTCTTCTCAAAGTCCTCAATGTCCCTTTGGACTTCAGTTCCTTCTCTACCTAGGAAAGATTCCATGGACAGTGGGACTTCAGTGACAGTAACCAGCACTCTCAATTCTCCTATCCCCTTGATTTTCCACTATATTTATCCTGCCAATCCCTACTCACAAATCAACCCAACGATTTCTTTTTTCTATTCCTGTTTACAAATTACAAAGTACTATTAAGGAAAATCCTATACTCCTGACCACTAGTTTCTCCTCCACCCAATTGATCTTCTATTGCTATCAGAGTGATCTTTTACTTTTTGCAGGGGAGGGGGCTGCACTGAGTCTTCTTTGCACCACACAGACTCTCTCGTTGTGGTGCGTGGGCTTAGTTGCCCTCAGTATGTGGGATCTTAGTTCCCTGATCAGGGATCAAACTCATGTCCTCTGTATTGGAAGGTAGATTCTTTTTTTTTTTTTTTTGAAGGTAGATTCTTAACCACTGGACCGCCAGGGAAGCCAGAATGATCTTTTAAAACATAGATTAAGCAAGACTTCATGAATGGCAGAATGAGGGGCTCAGCTAATTTTCTCCCCGTGAAAACAATGATATAACTGTACAGATTTGTCAAAAACAACCATTTCAAGATTCTGGAAATAGACAAAAATTTAAAAATAAATTTAAAAGTATTTAAGAAAATCTATTAAATGTTGGCTAAGAACAGTGGGAATCTATGGTGTTTTAGCCTGAGGCTTGTTCACATTCCCACCTCCCACCCAAGCTCTACTGGAGCCGATATTATAAGGTTAGGGCAAGTCAAGCCATAAAAACCAACAACTTGGCTGCTGGAGGGGAATTACTTGTATGGGAATGAGCACACACAAAAAAATTTCTATGCCCAGGGGTGTTGAAGATAACAGCAAACTCCTTAGATCAGAGAAAATGATCATCACAGTTACCTGAGATTACAGCATTGGTTGGGGCAAGTAACAGAACAGCAGGCCTGCTGAAAGTTTAGCAGAGAGATGCAGAAAGAAAGACAACCCTGGTAGGGCTTAATAAGCTCACTCATAACCCCATGGGTCTACAATGCTATGCGTATGTACAAGGTTGCACTCAAGCTCAAGGTACTAGAGAGGATCCTACTTAACTACATTTCCCTGCCTGAATATGAAGCCTTACAAAGGTACAGAGGAGACACAAGGAGGCCTAGCAGAAAGTAAAAATCAAAGATTTTTAAACTCTCCTGAACTTCAACTATATTTCCAAACCTACGCACAATTCCATCGACAAAGAGTAGAAGACAATACTGGCCCAAGGTATTTAGAGACTATCTCTAATAAAACAATTGGCTGAATGCTAAGCTATCCTGACCCGTATGACACTAAGGAAGCCAAGCTTACAAATAAAAAGAGTAGAAACATTAATAGGTTACACATTGAAGAGACAGAATTCACAGAATTGATTCAGGCAAGCTACCACAGCAACCTCAGAGACAGAATGGGTAGGAATCAGAACCTGAAATTAACCTTTTGAGGAACTGGCAACTGTTTTCCAGAGTGGCTACATTGCAACCAGAGAGTCTGTGTGGTGCAAAGAAGACTCAGTGCAGCCCCCTCCCCTGCAAAAAGTAAAAGATCACTCTGATAGCAATAGAAGATCAATTGGGTGGAGGAGAAACTAGTGGTCAGGAGTATAGGATTTTCCTTAATAGTACTTTGTAATTTGTAAACAGGAATAGAAAAAAGAAATCGTTGGGTTGATTTGTGAGTAGGGATTGGCAGGATAAATATAGTGGAAAATCAATAGGATGGCTATGGTCAAAAAGATGGACAATAAACAAGCTTTGGCAAGGATGTGGAAAAAGCTGGAACTCTCATACACTGTTGCTGGGAATGTAAAATTGTGTCACTGCTTTGGAAAACAGTGTACCACTATTTACAATAGCTAGAACATGGAAGCAACCTAGATGTCCATTGATAGATGAATGGATAAAGAAGCTGTGGTACATATATACAATGGAATAAAAGACATAAAAAGGAACACATTAAGTAGTTCTAATGAGGTGAACAAAACTAGAGCCTATTATAGAGATTGAAGTAAGTCAGAAAGAGAAATATAAATATTGTATTCTGACACATAAATATGGAATCTAGAAAGATGGTACTGATGAACTTATTTTCAGGGCAGCAATGGTGAAACAGACCTAAAGAACAGACTTATGGACATGGAGGAAGGGGAGGAGGAAGAGGGTGAGATGTATGGAGAGAGTAACATGGAAACTTACAATGCCGTATGTAAAATAGATAGCCAATAGGGACTTGCTGTATGACTCAGGGAACTCAAATAGGGGCTCTGTGACAATCTAGATGGGTGGGATGGGGAAGGTGATGGGAGGGAGGGAGGGGACATGGGTGTATCTATGGCTGATTCTTGTTGATGTTTGACAAAAAACCACAAAATTGTGTAAAGAAATTATCCTTGAATTAAAAAAAGCAAAGTGGCAAAAAAAAAGTGTTGCCAGTTTAAGGTTAAACTTAGAGTAACCTACCATATGTCTCAAACAACCCAAAATATCCATCAATTGAAAAATGGATAAACAAAATATGGTATATTCATACAATGGAATACTATTCGGACATAAAAAGGAATAAAGGAAGTTTTGTCACATAACATGGATGAACCTTGAAAACACTATGCTAAGTAGAAAAGTCAGACCAAAAGGAGACATATTGAATGATTCCATTTATATAAAATGCTCAATTCAGTTCAGTTCAGTCATTCAGTCGTGTCCGACTCTTTGCAACCCCATGGCCTGCAGCACGCCAGGCTTCCCTGTCCATCACCAGTTCCCGGAGCTTGCTCAAACTCATGTCCATTGAGTCAAAGATGCCATCCAACCATCGCATCTTCTGTCGTCCCCTTCTCTTCCTGCCTTCAATCTTTCCAGGATCAGGATCTTTTCCAGTGAGTCAGTTCTTCACACCAGGTGGCCAAAGTATTGGAGTTTCAGCTTCAGCATCAGTCCTTCCAATGAATATTCAGGACTGATTTCCTTTAGGATGGATTGGTTTGGTCTCCTGGCAGTCCAAGGGACTCTCAAGAGTCTTCTCCAACACCACAGTTCAAAAGCATCAA